AGAGTCTTAAACCACGTTCTCAATAGTTTTCTGCTATGTCGCTTGGCGTCAAATGCTTCCACTCACAGAGTTTGACCCAAGTCTTGGAAGGGACACTGTGGCAGTTACCAAACAATTTGCACATCTTATTAGACCAGAAAGTTGGAAACATTATTTTGAAGAGGCAGATGACTTATCCTTCCACTTGAAAAGATTGTGTAAGGATGGATAATCCCTCACTTTAGGACGGAACCTGATGATCTGACAAGTCATAAAAAGCAGGACGTACAAACTGGATGAGAACTGAACTCCAAGAGTGGGGTTTGGTTCAAGTAAATGGGCTGTTATAGAAGAGTCTGGGGGCACCCTCCGCTGACAGCACCCTCTGGTAAGCACACGGAATGAGAGTGTCAGTTAAGGTAGCTGTTTCTCACAGTAAAAATACATACTTTGGCCAGGTCCTCCACCTTAATTGCAAGTGCCTGGATGTCATCTCCTTGCAGAACGCTCGGAACAGGCTCAGGCTCTTCTGCAATTGCTGAGGACAGTTCATGTGTCTTTTCCTTCTTGTCTGAAAAACAGATGAAGAGACCTCCTCTTCAGTCTCCCAAGGAAACCCCATCTTCCTTCTTCAGCCTGGTTATTCATTTCCAACTACACTATGTTTTGGGTGGTTGGGTTTTTTTTTTAAGGTTGCACAGAACAATTCAATTCAGCATCTCTTATAATTGCAAAAATCAAAACTCTGAGAAGCTACAAGGACCAAAGTGAGTCACTAGGATGCAACTGCCTCACGCTTTGCTCTAGACGAGAGACAACGGACGAGATAAACGCAGCCTGTGCTTCCCGCAGGCAGAAGAATAAACTCCCGGGAAGTTTCCTGCTCCAGCTGCAAGCGCAAGCACAGGCACACAGCCTCCCCGCACAGCCCGCACAGCAAGGCACCCGATTCCCACAAGGTCCTAAACAGCAAAACAGCCCTTAAACAGCCAGAGTCCCGCAGAGCCGGGCGCAGGGCAGCGCTCCCCGCCGCAGGCCGCCCCCGGCACCTCCCTCCGGCCGGGACTGGCTCCCGGACACGCGTGGAGCTTTTCCAGGTAAAAACAATAATAAAGAATAATTATTGCGTGGGGAAGGGGCTGTTTACGGCGGCGTCAACGCCCGGCTCGGAG